TCCTCCCCGCCCTCCCCGGTTCCTCCTCGCTGGGGAGGCGCGACTGCCTGACTCGCGGAATGACCCCGGCGAACCCCGAAACAGCCCCAAAATAGGGGGGGAGCGGGGGGCGCGGCGGGGCTTACCGGACATCCTGAGCGGGAGCGGGCAGCACCTCGCCGGGCGCCCGGTGCAGCGGCAGCGGTGGCCCCGGCCCCGGCCCCAGAGCAGGTGAAGGGGGCAAGAGGAGACAGGCTTAAAATTTGGGGGAGAAGAGACCTGCTTGCCCGGTGGCAATGCCAGGTGGATCCCGACAATATTATTGTTTTATCCCTACGGGTATAAGTTTGAGTTTTTCTCTCCTAATGCCAAGTATTTAAAACCTCTAGAAACCAATGATTTGACAATCAATGATTGCGCGATACTTTCAATTTGAATATTCAAAGGCTCCACAAAATGGGCTATCTTTTTGTGAAACTGAGCACATCCCCATCTAGCAGAGGGTCTGGGGGAATAAGATTTGGTAGGGCCACCCTCCCCACCCTTTGCTTTTGGGACATTTGCAGGGTTTTATCCATCTTTCCCCAAACGAAGCAGATGCCTCGAAACTGGCTCGGTATTTTCCCCTCTGATGCACAGGCTGGGCTCCAGCCCTCTCATATTTCATTTGCTACCTGCAGAGAGGACTCTGCAAGGGACTGAGCTGCTTTTTGCACATTTTTTCACATTTTAAGGCTACATACTAAGGCTTTTGGGGCAAAATGGCAGTGGGCGGGCGTGGCGTAACAAAGAGGCTGCCCTGGGCACCCAGGCAGCTGAAGCTACCCAAACCCCACTTCTTTCCACAGCACTCCCTTCCCTCTGCCCAGATGCTGGGCTTATATTGGAGTTTAGTTGCGTTTTCCCCTAATTCAGACTATTTGCTCTTGCTGCACGGGTTGGCCCTTCTCTTCTTACATGCTTCAGTGCTGGCCTGCCCTGTATGCTGTAAGTGGTGGGGTTTTGGCGTGTGGTAGGATGACACGGTTTTTGGATAACCCCTCATCACTATACGGTGCTGACGTAGTTGGGTTTTTCAGGTTGCGTTTCAACTTTTCCCTGCGCACCGCAGTCTCTGCCGTGTCCCAGGAATAGCTGGCTAAGGCAGAAAGCAGGCCAGGCTGTTAATCATCTACTAGCAGTTCAGTTTGGCTATTGTTGCAGCTGAGTCTTTTCTTAAGTTGAACAAATACACTTGATTTCTGTGGGGAGTGGTCGCAGCGGCGATGCCAGTCCTTGTGCTGACATGTGCCTCTGCAGCTCCTGGTAGGCCAAGCCTTGCTCGGGGTGGCTCTGCAGGGACAATTCCCACAGGTGCCTCTGGAGAGGAGCTCTCTCCACACACCTGCGATGCAGCAAAAAGGAGCGTGCTGTGCTGGGGGAGCTGCAGAGGGGGGTTCTCAGGGGAGTACATGGGCCTGCCTGTGCTAAGTGGTTTGGGACCTGAAGCCCTTGGCGTTGCTGGGGCTGCTTCCACCTGAAGCATCGGTGGTGGGTGGGCAGAGCCCAGTGAGGCCGTGGGCGCTGTGTGCGGGAGCCGGCACTCCTGGGAGCGGGGTAATGTTTACCTCTGTAACCAGAGACCACAGAGCAGAGCGTGCAGGCTGCTCGGCTCCAGTCATGACTGAGCTGTACGCCTTAAGGAAACGTGAAGCACCCGTGTTTGGGGTGTTCCTACATGTCCTGGGTTTCGGAGCTTTTCCAGGCTCACAGAGACCCTGCCTTGGTTAAGAGAGCCAAATGCCAGCATCAGTCAAACACTTCCAAGACAGCTCAAAAGCTTTCTGTCCTTGCTTCTCCCTCAAAGCCTGATGAGGATACAGCCAGACTGACCCTGGTGTCCCCACCCATGCAAGGCTCCTGAAGAAGGTACAGCTGAGGTAGCTGATGGTGACTGCTTTGCCAAACAGCAGCTATGGACAGCGATTCAGCCTGGCGGTGTTGTCAGTTGTTGTGTAGAACAAGGCTGCGGGCTTGTGCAGGCTTCAGGTTTGGGGGCACAGGGGCTGGGTGCGGGGCAAGGAGACCTGCACACACCCTGAGATGCTCTGGGGCTCCTTCCCTTGCCCTGGCCCATGCTCAGGGGAGCAGCTCTGGCTGAGCAGGTACCACCCCGGGATGCTCCACACCTGCTGCTGGCAGGAGCCTGTGGTGCCTACGGACCGAACGGGGAGGCAGCTGGGCTCACCTCGCCCCAAGCTTGGCATGTGTACAGAGGAGCCCTGGCTGCTGGCGATTTCTCTGGGCTGAGCTTTCCCTGTCTCTCCAGGGCTCGAAAGAAGGGCGCAGCCCGTGGGGTAGGCAGAGGTGAGATTTAAGGCACAGAGAGCCACTGGAGTTTGCTTTTATGAGCAGGTCTGAACAAGGCTAGGGAATCAGGAAGCATTGGGGGGATCCCAGCCCACCAGGACCAGAGCTGGGCGCTGGCTGCGGTCCTCTGCCCGAGCTGGGGCTCCAGGGGCTCTGCCCCGGGGAAGCCTGGGCACAGCCCAGGGGCTGTGCAGGGCTGTGGGGACGAGCTTCGCACAGCAGCCGGGGCCGGTCCGGGGTCAGGGTGAGAGGTCTGACCTGGGGCAGCCTGTGCAGAGCCTTCCCTTTTGGGGTAGCTGCTGAGATCCCTGGGAGCACTTGTTCCATCCCTGGATGCCAGAACATCCCCTGGATGGTTTGCAGGTGCCTGAACAGCCAGGGAAGTGTTGTCCACCAGGTGTGGGCTGAGCAAGGGGCTTGTACCGTTGCTGCGTGCACACCGAGGTGCAGGGGCCTTCCTGGGCTACAGGATGAGGGGTCCCCAGATGGTGGTAGGTGGTATGCCTGTAAAAGAAAGGGTTTTGTGTAGAGGACTGGCTTGGCCTGCTTGGCAGCTCTCTGCAGCGTGGCTTACACGGGCTTGATATTGCTGCCTGTTTCTAGGTGCAGTGCTGTGTCCCCTGTTCACGTTCCCCCACAGAGAGGTGCCTGCAGGCAGCATGGCATGAAGCGATGCTCTGGGCCCGATCCTGTGACCCCCGTGCCATTTATGATCCCTGGAGGGTGCTGAGAAGGCTCCGAATGCCCCATCAGCCCCAGGATTTGAGAAGAAAAGGCAAGGAGGACCTTAAAGCATCTCATCACTAAACACTCTCAGGCCCTGGAAAGCTCCTGTTCTTCCTCAGCAAGGCTTTTGTTGCTGTTTCTGTGGGTGCCAGGCTGCGGGACAAGATGGGGAAAGGGGGTAGCCTCTGCCGGGTAGGGACGCAGCAGGGGGGACTGGCTGCATCTGTAAGGGTTGTACAGGACTCGTGTGCGTCTGTTTGTGTGTGCAGAGCTACCTCTAGTGGCCACGGGGCCCGGCCTGGCACTGGGACTTCAAATCAGCCTTGTTCCCAATGAGAGCCCCAGGTGGATGCCTCTTGGCAAGGGGCTGGAGCAGTCTGCTTTGTGCCCGCTGACACAAGGCTTCGAGTCACGTCACTTGTATTGATCTGGTGTAGGCAAGAGGGGGAACAGCTCTGTGTTTTCTTCAGGGCAAGAGGGAAATTGGGGAGGATGTGTTTTGTGCCTTGCAGGTGGGAGGGATGGTAAGGCTTCCTCGCATGCAGATCAGCAGGCAGGACAGTGCCCCGACAGTCCCTGCCAATGCCTTAAGCTGTCCGCCAGGCCCTGGTGTAGTGTGGTGAACTTTATTTGGTTGTGCTGTAGACTCAAACAGACCATGCCTTTGCTACTCTGGCCATAATTGTTGCCCAAGACAATGCCATGTTCACAGCATGATAGCATTAGGGACGGACGTTTATGCTGCTAGGTAACCAGATACCATTATACAGACTCTGTGCTATTAAGGAGGGCTTCCCCCAGCCCCTGCCTTGCTCCACAGCCTTCCCAAATCTCTTCCGGTAACGTTGCTCTGTAGATGTAGGTTAAGGTTCAGAGCAACCTGTTTTCTCAGCATCTGAAAAGAAGTACCTGAGATCCTTGTTTGTAGGAAAGGCCCATAGAGTGCAGATACTTTTCGGGCTGTGTATTTTACTTGTAGCACAGTGGGACTGTGAGCAATGACTTTCATAAGGCACTAAAAGGCACCACTATAAGCTACATGTGGTACATCCAAGTGATTGTATTTCTAAACAGAGCATAAAGCATTGCATGTTGTTAACATCCTCTGTTTGAAGGACCAGCTTTAGGAAAAAGCATACAAGTAATTAATTTGCTTCAATAGCAGTCCATTTTTCTTTTCCCCCAGCTCTTATCTCTCATCAGTAAGTTCTCCGGCCTTCATAAGTCCCCCAGATGGGACTTCCATCCTCTTTTGCCCAGGCAGAGTTATCATGAAGGGGCAGCGTCTCCGAGGACTGCTCTGGCGAGAGGTGGCTCATCCTGGAGGTAAGCTCGTTTGCCACAGTCATGAATGGTGAGAAGGAGTAGGGCGAGGTGGCAGCATAGCTGGGGGAGTAGTGGACATCTTCAAGTGGATGCAGAGGGTAGGGCTGGCCTCCGGGGATGGCTGGGGTCCAACCTGAGCTTCGGTATGGGGAAACACCTCCGGACTCGTGTGACGAGAGGCAGCTGCCACTAGCAGGCAGTGCTTGCAGAGGGTCTGAGCACGCACCATCCAACTGGCTGAGACTGTCTGGTGAGGTCTGCTCCCAGGGCTCTCTCTGCATGGAAGCAGGGAGAGAAGGCAAAAAAGATTCTTAAGAATAAAAGCTTGTCCTGGAGGCAATGGCATATCTATCCCAACAGCCTAGCTGGGAGCACTCATGATGGTTTCTATTGCTCTGGAGCAGTATTTGGTGTTAAAACTGTTGAAAGGAAGTATCCATGCTGTCAATAGTGGGCAAGGCCTGGAATAGGCTCCCGTTGGGACTGACCAGCCCTGACCCTGCAGGGCCCAGGAGCTCTGTCCTGGGAGTGTGAATGGAGCTGGCTCCTGGGAAGTTGCAGGGATAGGGATAGGCAACTGCCAGGAGCCAACAAAGGATGTTTCTAGAAACTTAAGGAGCTTAATGGAGTAGTTGTTTTGGGGAGCAGGGAAGGTTGTTGATTTAGGAGCTGGTCTCCAACAGGAAGAGGGGACAATTAGATGGAGGACAGGAACAAAGAGAAAAACAGTTCCCCCTCAGCCCTGCCCCATC